CACTCACCCACACAGGTGCCTGTGGCAGTAGGCGGTGTTCGGAGGTGGCAGCCACCACCTCACAGTGGTGGCGGTGGCCTTTTTGCGAATTCCGGTTACACAACATACACACACTTAACACAATATAACATCAGCACACACACACAGACCTAAATACATATCAAAACTCGCACACAGCCGCCTTCAAAGGTGGCTGGTGGCGATGAAAGGACGGACGAACAGCTATAGCGGCGGCGCGACGTTGATGGTTGGTGTCTTACGGCCTCAACAACAACATATATTCATTCCCCTACACGAGACCATCGCTGCAAACCATCGACTATGCAGCAAGGTGTGCGTTTACAGATAACGAAAGGCGGTGGCGGAATGGTCATGGTGGTGCTTCAGTTGGCGACCTCGATAATTGTAGTGTGGCGGCGATGGATGTCGGTAGATGCATCGATCTTGTTCTCCGGCAAACACGTAGTCTCAAGTCATCCTTGGTCTCGTCGAAACAAGGCCAACAGCGGCAGTAACATAGCAAGGTTTATTTGATGGTGAAATTGTCTTCAACGGAAGTGGAAGTGCCTGGAAGAGGAAAATGAGGAGAAGAGTGGAAGTTCGGTGGTTACTATGGTTGTTGGCTGATCAGAAATGCAAGAAGGAGGTCGGTTGGCCAATGGAGAAAGAGAGGTCGCGGCTAATGCACCGATTAGCGTTAGGGTTTAAAGGGTGACGAGATTATATACCCCCACCCCATGACTTCAATCCATAACAACACATTTGGTCCCTCCTCCTCCTTATTCTTTCAATTTCAATCTCAAATTTACCATTTCTACCCTAGCTTCAAAAAACCCTTTCAAGTCCAATCCGTAATTTAGCCAACAACCCCTCCCTCTACAAATCCTTTTCAACATAGGTCCGAAATTTATTCTTTATTCCCCGCTTCCATAAATTTTTACAAATTAAGTCCCAAAACTAAACTTTAAACCCTAATGATTCAAATCTTGTCATTTGGCTTCCCGATCCCAACTCTCAGCTAATGTATTATTTGGTTTTGGATTATAATAATATAAAATAATAATAATAATTACTTCTCGGAGTTCCGGGTTTATTATCTAATTATCTTATTTTAAACGGAATGTTACAGGAGCGGTCCAGTTACTATTGTCCTAGCAAGGCGGTCCAATAGACTATAGGCTCAATAGAGCGGACCAAGCATCGTGTAGGTCTTGTGAGGCGGTCCAGGCAGACTGAAGGCTTATGTATGAATGCATTGTATGTGTAATGTGAGGTATTTTGGGAAACTTATTAAGATTTGGCTTACAATTATGGGTTTAAATGTTTCGGGTACTTCAGATGATCGGGGCATGAAGAAAGCATGATCATACACATCCTCTTGCAGATTTAAGTTTGAGATATGATATTGTTTCTCCGATTTTCATGGTTTTGTTTTGAAAAAATGACTGATTGCTATATGGTTTTTATGAAAATGTCTTTTGAAAATTGAAAATTTTTTACTATGGTTTTTGGAATGTTACATAATATTTCATAAGAGTTCCATCTATTAGTTGCAAAGCATATTTTTGAGCCCTCCTACACATCCTAAGACTCACATGAATGTCAAACTTCCTAATAACTTCTAACCTTAATTTTTCTCCTACTTATCTTTTGTCTATATAAGATTTGTTTGGTATAATGACTTACTAGCCATGAATATGAAACCCTATAACCTAACTTAAAGTTCATAACACAATTATGTTTTGAGCTTAAATATTTGAAGTTGTCTTCATCACTCATCCATGAGGCCCATAACCTAAAGGTACACTTAACCTTGCAACCTTGTACCAAAAACATTTTACTATCATTTTCAACAATTCACAATTGGTATCCTACTGCTACAACATAGTTTTTACTTGAGTTGGATCTTTAAATCTTATACAAAGTATGGGCTTTGTTTCATCCAGTTTGTTGACTCATTAAAAATGGCATGAACTTGAATTGTGTGGTGACTTTCACCCTCATGTTTTAAATCATAGCTGGTATCCTCCTGCTCCCCCTGTTCTTGGGCACACAATTTAGTTGATAATTCACCATCATATGTTCTATTCATTAGCATTACTTCCTCATTAAAATCCACTCTCACATCCATAATGTCACCTATGTCATCATTCCCACCAAGAATAAAAGAATCATGGACATCATCTTCTCTTTCAAAACCATACAAATCTTGTAATCCATCATCAACATGGTCTACATAAACGGATATTTGACCATCAGTTCCATATGCATCAAAAATGAAGGCTTCATAGTTCACATCATTCATAATAGGCCTAATGTTAGTAAAAAGGGGAGCACCTAGCTGGTTAGTTTCTTACAATCTAATTGCATGAAACATTCGAGAAAACTAATACACTCAATGTGTATCATAAGAGAAAAAGTGTGATATATGAAGATGAATTCATATGATTATTACAAGAGAAATATTCGCAAATAAACACATTGTAAAGTTCAGTTCCGTTAGAGAACACATCCTAGTAGGGTTAGAGGTTGACATTGCTACTACTTGCCTGCTACTTCACTTCGTTCTCTATTGGACTTGAAACCCCTAGATATGTGTCGATGTTTTGGAGTAATGAAAAGGGACGACCAGAACCAACTACCTTAAGTTTCTCTCATTTACACGGATACATACATGGCATTACTAACATGGCCTTCAAATTTATTTGTAATCATATTTCGAACTAACACACAGGCCAAGTAACTGGCTCATCCAGTTGCTTTGCTCAAAATTGCATAATTGACAGTCAATTTGAAACTTTAATGACTAAATGCGCAAAAAATAATTAGTGACCAATCCGAGATAAAGGCAAAATTTTGTTATGCTACAGTGTCATTTTCCCTTTTATAATCACTAAATTTCTTTCATACAAATTCAATGACTACTTTAGATCTTTACACTCTTTCTACTTGACCTTTGGTGAAGTGCAAAAAATGAAAAGTCTTTAATGACCATTGTTTTTGGTCACTAAGTCTCCAACAATATAGTAACCATTATTTTTGTCATTATGTGTTTAATGTTGTGAACATTATTTTTGGTCACTAATACTCGTAATGACCTTTAAAAAGATTTTTTTACTATTTATTCTTTAGTTTTAGTAACTACTGTGTAACATCCGGATTTCCAGGTACATTATTATTCATTTATTTTGGAGATTTTGGAGGGACTGGGCGAGTTGACGCTTACTCATCGAGTAGGATCGCGAATTCTATCCGGGTTAATGGTTAGGCTCGGTGAGTCGACTAGTGGACTCGGCAAGTTTGTGCTGTTTAATGAATCCCTAATTCCCATGGTTTTGGGACCTATTTAAAGGGGCTTATAGCCATCATTTGCGGCTACCAGACCGCTGACTGAAACCCTAAGAGATCTAGAGCGTTTGTGAGGAAGAAGAGGCCATTTTTGATCTTTGTGTGGGTGTTTTTGCAAGAAGAAGGTTACCAAGGCAAGAGGGAACTAAAGAGGGTGCTATTCTATGGATTTAAGAGCCTAGGGACTTCATATTGAGATATATATTCGATCCTTCTTCAGCTTTGGTGTTAATCTTTGAGAGTTAGAGTTTCTAGCCCCTTTAGAGAATGAATTGAGGAGCAATTGGTCCCTTCTTATGTTTAGACTTTGGATATGGATCCAAAGAGGTCCAGAGACCTTAACTCCTTGAGATTTTTGGGTGTCATTGGGAGTTATGAGCTTAGGGTGGCACATTGAGGCCATTTCTTCAAATAGAGCCATTAGGTCCTTGCATGTGCATCAAGATCCAAACTTTACGTGTTTATATTGCTTAAGGAGGCCATATCTATGGGTTAGAGGAACGGATCTAACCTCAGGAGGTCATTTGAGTTAGAGCATGGCATGAACTCGTCGAGTCCAAGAACAGACTCGGCGAGTAGGATAGTTTTTCCCCATGAATCGCACAGTTGGTGAGTCACTGAGTTGGGGAAGTAACTTGGTGAATCATTGGGGGTTTTGAGGACTTGGGTTCATGAATGAACTCGCCGAGTCACAATTGTGCACTCGGCGAGTCTGGTCAAAGGGTTGATCGTTGACTTTTGTTGACTATTAGGGTTTGGTTAACAATTAGACTTGTGCACTGTTTGAAGGGTAAAATCGCCTTTTAGCCTTCTTAAAGGACGTGTGAGGATTTAGTCTAGCCTGGAGAGCCATTATTAATTGAGATGATCATTTCTGTGTTTAGGCTGAGGCTAGATCAGTGTTACGCGAGTGAGATATTACCAAGACATCCGAGGTGAGTCTTCTCATTGTATTTTACCTTGAGTGGTAATTAGAGTTATGTAACAGAGTTATTGTATGCTTTATATGTGATGTGTTGCACTACATTATTTCTATGTGATTTATGCTGGGTGTATATCAGGGTGTGTCAGAGTTAGAACCGGGAGGTTCACAGAGTTAGGACCAGAAGGTCCACAGAGTTAGGGCCCAAGGGCCCACTGAGTTATAGCCTCAAGTGGCTAGTATGTGTTATGTGTGGTATTTTGGGGAACTCACTAAGCTTCGTACTTACAGTATTATGTGTTATGTGTTTCAGGTACTAGTGAGGATCGCGGAAATGCGCCGATATGATCAGTACACACATGCGGAGTTTTATTTATATGATATGATCTTGGGATTTTGACTTATGTTTGAATATATTAAACAATGTGTCTTATAATATTGTGAATTAAATGGTTTTAAAAATGTGAAAATTTGTTTGAAATTTTACGGTGTTACATATCAAGTGATGTTCATTATAGTATTGGTTACTAAATTTTTAATGTTTCTAAAATTAGTGACCAAAAGATATTGTTAGTAACTAGAATTCAAGTCAAAAATATTGGTCACTAATAATGACTTTTGTTTTAGCTAATTCTTATAACAAGAGAAAATAAATACTGATAGTAATTCTTATAACAAGAGAAAGTGAGTCCTGATGACTATAAAAGTATCAAGAACCAATTGTTTTGATAGTCGATAAAATATTAGATAACATCATTATTAAGAAAATAACAAGACCTAAGATTATTAACAAATTAAGAAAAACAAACAGCTTGTAGGTAGCGAGTCATATTTATACATTGGCATGTGGTGCGATTAGTGGCTCACATCTGCAAGATAAAAACAGAAAAAATTAGAATCAAGATGCTACAAAAAGTGACAACAAATAAATAAGATATAATGCAATGTTAGTGTTTGTAAAAAAATCAAACAAAAAATGACCTAGTCATATAGACACTTTGAGTGACTAGCCAATATGAATGTTACCCAAACACAATAACATTGAGAATTAATTATATAAATAAAAAAATCATAGTAAATACAATCTTACTAGATTATGACTTAAGTTATCCTTTTGATAACGATTTTAATTCCTTTCAACTAGCATGAACAACAAAAGAACTAGCTAGATGTGAAGCTAGCAAAGATTTTTAAAACACCTTTCACTAAATGTACAATTTCAGTTTCTTGTTGCAGATAATTAAGGAAGAAATCCAATTAATTCATAGAGATGCAAATTCAAATTAATTCATCGTAATATACATCAACAATTCTCGTGATCACAAATGCACCATATATATTTGTATATGCATGACTACGAATATTTAACATAGTTTCTTGCTGGACTTACATGTCACTGCTACTGAAAATGATATATGAAGCAGGTTTCTCGGGTGAGATGCTGAACAATTGTCGAACTATGTATACACATAGAGTAATACTGTGAAAAGGTTCAAATTCAACATTAGCCATATATATTAATTTACCGCACTACATGCAATTGAATTTAAAATTTATGATTATATCAAACGTGTAAAATCAAAAATAAGATCATTGATTGCAAGAACTTTAGGACAAATAGTATAATCTATTATTTTCATTCGCAAAACAATATGCAATTATTGCAGCATTCATAAAGAACTGCATACTTTGCATGCCCTTAAGATGCATAATATGTGATGCACCAAGCATGACAATTAGCGAGCATAAATAATTTATCATGCATAGCCTAAGCATCCTTCATTAGCAAAGTGTTTAAAACGTTAATAAAAGAAGAAAATAGATTATTTATCCACCGCTTTTCTAGGAAATATGTGAATCGTAATGTAATCACAGAAACGATATGGTCTTCAACAGGGGCGAAAAATAAGAACTACAACTAAGGATTATGTATAGGTATATCATATAATATGTAGTTGAGCTTACGAATGAAGAACTTATTCATATCAATAATATAATTAATATAAATTAAGAAATATGTGAAGAAGCCTTACGAAAAACAAAAATATGCGAAGTAAGCATTATGCCACATTTATGTGATGTATATTGCTTTATACCAGTTGGACTATAAGTTAAGTAGAGAATAACTTGTATGATAAAACGTGATGTGTAAATTTAGAAGTAAATAATCTGTATGTGTGTAAGGCCTTCTAAAAGAACATATATAATAAAAGGAGAAATAAGATGTATATAGGTTCCTATTTATCAATGCAAGTGAGAAATAAGAAATTGACTTGGATCGAATAAATACTCACCTCCCAAAAAATAAAAGTGAAATTATCCATAAGGTAGCAGTTGTCCAACTTGATTCTTTGTATGCTATCCACACCTGAAAATCTACACTCCATTATTCTTGTTATAGAGAAAAAGTAGTACAAGGAATATCTAATTCTTATATTTTTGAAATCTAGTTTCATTTTAAATGCATCAAGATCCGTAAAAAGAAAATTTTGAAATACGGATTATAAAATTTAATCGCATTCAGAATGAAAGTCACTGATTTATCTGACCTAAACCCATTGTTGCACGATCATAAAATATAAATATACTGGTTTCATCTTAAGTTGCAAAGTGAAAAATACAAATTAAAAATACAAGACATATGTGTAACCAACTTAATCATTGACAACATTTGAGATAAGAAATATGAATAATGTGACTAATTAAGGTTGGTTCAGGAACTGATACAATAGCTTAAATGTGTATGTCAAGATTGTCACTATCAGTCGATGAAAAATAGAGTGGAAAACATGAAATCGAAGCAAAGAAATATTGAACGAATAATTTCAAATACCATATAATGGAAAATTCCAAGTTGTCTTAAAGCATAAACATTTGATATCAAAGCCAAGTACATCATGAAGGTAGACATACCGCGAACATCACAGCATGGATATAGAGGTCTGTCATGTTTGCTAAGAAGCACCTGTTTGCATTTATTAATTATTAAAGTCACTTTACATTGTATATGTAAAGGAAAAAGTAAATAAAGATTGAAATAGAAGGATGTTTACGTACTTTGTAAATGAATCATCATAGGAGCCCGATATATCTTTAATAAGCGTGTAAATTAAAGCTCCCATCGTCAAAAATAATAGTGCAGAAAAGATTGCTCTTACAGTTACAACAGGGATCCTCGAGGTGTGTTCCCTACGCAAAATTTTTAATTATATTGAAAATACACGTAACTCTCTTGACAATTTGTTTCATATGATTCATGCAATCAGTTATAAAAATCAAAGAGAAAACGAGTCAAACCCAATTTTGTAAAGCGTAACGTAAGAAAGCAAGTAAGAGATGATTTACGTTGTTAAATTGAAAAGAGAACATAGAGAAAGAAATAATTAGAGAACGTAGAATATACATTTTGATGGTCATGGAATATCATTTATTCTTACCTTGTATGATGTCTCGCTAACACAAAGTATAATGGATTTGTCGAAGATTCTTCACGTGATAACTTGAAGAACTGAAGAAGGATGTATCCAATGCTAAGAAGGCTGTAGAAGGTAAAAAAATATGACTATGACACTAACAAGTACGCGTATATGACATGTAACAGTTCTATCATGTATGCAAGAAAAGAGAAACAAAATATTTTCATGCTTATTAGGGTTATTGGCTCACATATAAAGGCTAGTTGCAGATTTATAGTGCACATAAGAAAAAATATTCTTAATTAATACTTGCAAAGTTTCAAATCGAAGCTTCCACTAATTACATCCAGAAGATAGAGAAATAACAAATAAGAAAAAGAATGATTCAAAATTTCATTGCAAATTAGGGATCAATAAAAGCATTAAATTCTTCATATTTTAATAGCTTTGCCAACATGTCTATTACATTCTCCTTAGTATCCATCTTTTTAATATAGAATCTTATTTCTTCCAAAACATCCATGATAGACCGGATTGTTTTCAAGACATAAAGCACTGCGACTATTAAAATCCAAGATATGATTGTAGTTAACTTGGTTATGTGCCCCTTATGCAACAACAAAGTTGAAATTGACACCGCCTTTTTTTGAGTAGTCTACGATCAAATAAGTCTGGCCAAAGCTTAATTAACATACGGTGGAGTAACATTCTGACTATACAAGCTCGATTTAATTGATGTTTAAAATGGATAACAATAACATGAGACCTTCGAAGGTAGATTATTGTCATGTTAGACGTACAGAAATGATTGAATTTTAAACAACACTATGATAAATAACAATGTATTGGCAAGTGGGGGGATCGAGCGATTTCATTTAGACTAAGTAAAGCAAAATCAGGGGATCTCATTATCCTAAACAACGGGTGTAATTACCAACTTTGGGAATGCATGCAATGTTTATAATTCCAGCCTTTTGCTAGCCTTTATTCAATAAATTCTTGATGTTCAAATCAAAATGATCATGTTCAAAATGACGTACAACCAACCTCCATAAGTTGTATAAAGGTCCTCTAAACAATGAATTCACCCAATTTAGTGCATATCCATTGTTCTTGTGAAATGCAAAAAATGATTCCAAATAATTGAAACAAAAAATAAACGGAAAGAAGATTACCTTCCGAGAAAATATATCGAAAGAGTGAAAATAATTGTCTTGATCCACCCGGATTCCTTGTAGAAAAACCAAGCCTAAAAGTAACCAACATACAGCAAAATGGTAGTTTATATATTTGATTAAAACAATTGGGTGTAGAAATATATTCTCTTGTAATGCAAATGACTGATATAATATGCACGCTGAAAGTAGTTGTTGGTGATTTTGATCATCAATGTTATTTAAGTGTAATGAGATTACTTTGTGTTGACCAAAAATGATCTTGATAAATATTAAACAAGTACGGAAGGTGTGGAGTACACACTTGTTTAAGTTTGATCAAGTTTCAAAGTACACTGTCATTTAGGGGCGAAGCCCCTGAACGAACGGGGGTCCGAGGGCAGCGCCCCTGGGAGCGGGGTCCAAGGGGCGGCAGCCCCTGGCGGGGTCCAAGGGGCAGAGCCCCTGGCTGGGATCGAAAATTGATTTTCCAGTTAATTGACCATTGGTTTGACCCTTATCCATATATCCGTTTTATGACAGTTTTTATGGTTTTATGACAGTTTAAAACTATCATATGACAGTTTTCAGAAAAAGTTGTTAAAAGTTGGTTTTGGTCTCATTTTCTGGTACATACGAAAATATCATCAAACATTCTTTGTTCTTGTCTCTCTGAGTCTTATCCAATTGTAGATTTGGGAGTACCACCAAATACTTCGATTTGAAAGTGTTAATCACAATTCTCAGAATTTCCAAGCCTTTCTAAACTCAAATTTCTAACAGTAGTGATCTAGTTTTACTCAATGTGTATCAATAATCGAATATTCCAAAAAGTATGAGTTTCTAAATCCAAATGTCCATATGTTCGATGTATTTTTTTTTAATATATATATATATATATATATATATATATATATATATATATATATATATATATATATATATATATATATATGTTCCGTTGAAATTAAAAACAATACAAAAATCTTGAGATTGAACCCCAGCCACATATTTCACATTTGCTTGTAACCCTCCGGAGTACCGTTACGTCAGGCCTGGTATAATCATTAATGATTATACAGTGCTGCATGTTCCTTTCTCCTCCGCCACCTTCCCCACTACCATAACTGTCGCCGCCACCTCCACTACCACCACCTCTGACACAAGTCAACCCCACCACAATCACTTCCGTTACTTGTACCACAGTCACTTCCATTACTTATACCACCGCCAGATTTGTCACCACCACCTCTTATACAACACTGCTATAATCATTTATGATTAATCAGTCTGTAAACAGATATATATATATATATATATATATATATATATATATATATATATATATATATATATATATATATATGTATAATCTTTTATGATTAGGTTTATACATATAAATATTTATAATCTTATATGATTATACTTCTCTACCATATAATCATTTATGATCAGGCATATGTTGTTGCTGCCAGTAAGCTGGAGCATTAAAGCGGGAAATGAAAAATATGTGGCTGAGGTTGAATCTCAAAATCTCTACTTTTTTTAATCTCAAGTAAACCCTCTCATATATATATATATATATATATATATATATATATATATATATATATATATATATATATATATATATATATATATATATATATATGAGTAATTGTAGGGACTATAAAATTTGTAAAAATTTGCGAAGTCCTAATCAACTCATCATTTTTCAACACAAAAAACACCGATCTTCTCCACATGGTGCATCTAAGCCATATCTAGCCTCAAAAAAATATTTGACAATTTTTTATTTATCTATTTTCGAAATTTGCATGTATGCACAATCAACAGTTGTACGGACTAGTGATGAGCACAATCCGCAGCCATATCGATTGTTGATTGTGCTCATCAACAGTCATACAAAAAAACCAAAAAAAAAAATCATGAAATCTTTTTTTTTTGAGCTTATATATGTCTTAGATGCACCTTTTTTAAAAGATCGTTGTTTTCGGTGTTGAAAAATGATGAGTTGATTATAAGTTCGTAAGTTCTCACAAATCTTATTGATTCTCTCTCTCTCTCTGTCTCTCTCTGTGTGTGTGTGTGTGTGTATGTATGTGTCTATATATATATATATATATATATATATATATATATATATATATATATATATATATATATATATATATATCTTACATACTTATAAAACATGCAATTTCCCTTGATTGTCATGCATTTGAAACCCCCAAACCTTTTCACATTCTTAATAATTAATCACACATAATCAATGGTAATTCATATGAGATAATAATTTGCTAAAACCTCATGCATTTGTTTGATATTAGAACATCTTTGAGTTTTTGGGTTTTAGACTTTAGTAAATGGGTAATCCGTTTGATACGTTGGATTTGAAGCTATCTTATTCGAATTACCCAAAACAAGAGATAAATTAATAATATATGCTCATGCATGTTTTGTACAAGCCTCAATCAAAATACAATATATCATGATCATACAATTAAGTGTCTTTTATTCCATTTTTGGCTTTATAACAAAAGTTTGTTTACGTGGTGAAGAAAGAAAACTTGAAGATGAATATTTAGGCTGGATATTTATATAAGATTTGTTTTAAATATATAATATAGATATAAATACATTCAATATGTGTCAAATACAGCCCATCACAAATTTAATGTTATAAACTACAATAAAGCTCATAATGGTTTTCCAAATATAATGTTTATACTATAGTATAATATATTATAAGAATATCATATAGTAGACGAATCTCACATGTTGTGCAGAAATTTAGTTGCATAGATAATATATTATAATTATATTTCATTTAAAATATGTTAGGGTTATTTGGTTATTACATTATTGTATTAGGCACTATAGTCTCATATATTTTGAATGACTCTTACAAAAATGATGTCTGCAATTTGAATATAACGTAATATCTTATGATGTTTATTGAATGATATTATCTTCGATTGAGCCCTTTTTAATTGAAATCAACTTTATTATAATTAAAAATTTTGGCTCCGTTTTTTCTTTTCATTAGTTCTAGAATATGATTTTTATATTAACTTAAAATATATCATTATCTTAAAATAGATTGAGAATGAGATTTATTATATTTACTTAAAATACGGCACCATTTTCTATTCAATAGTAAAACTAACAAAAGTCGTTAAATATATATTTTTATGAGGTTCAACATAAATAGACGACCACAAATGAGAATCCATATCTAATTAATCATCAACTAATTAAATTAGATACTAATGTGTACATAAAAATTACATTTAAAATTTTAAACTAATAGTAAAAAAATTTCATTATTTATTATGATAAAAAAATTTGTAAATCAAAAACTATACATGCTATTTAATCGCATAAAAGTTTTATGTATGGCTTATTCATAATACATTAAACCATATATAACCATATTAAACTACATAATTATCTCACTGCGCAACGCGCGGGCATTCGCCTAGTGTGTGTGTGTGTGTGTGTATATATATATATATATATATATATATATATATATATATATATATTAAACTGGATGTTGGAAATCATAAACCAACAAAATAAGTGTGAAAAGGAACGTTAAGGGTGGATTAAGAGCATCTCCAACCCACTCATATTTTCCATTATTTCCTCTGTTCTTCTCTAACCTTATCTCATTTATTCCCCTATTTCGGGGGAAATGAATAGTATAACACTAAATATAGTTTTATACTATTCATTTCCCCTAAAATGATGATGAACTTTGAGTTGTCGATTTTAGTTTTTCTTTTTGTATATTTATACATTTTTTATTTTTTATCTACTAATTATATTTTAAATGTGATACTTAATACTTATAATATTGTGTTATATATTAAATTATATTAATTAATTATAAATATAATGTTTTTTTTTTGTTTATCAAATTCATATTAATGTTTAAATACATATTGGTTTAAAACACAATAACATATTTTACAAAAGCTTATAATTAAGTGTTATAAATAAATCTTATTTATTTAATATTATTGTAATGAAAAAAATATAAATTATATATTTGTTAAAACCAAATTAATAGAAGGGGTGTGTTTGACAATTTATATAAGTTAGAATAATGAAATATTCTTTTTAGGGGTAAAAAATGGAATAAGGATAGAGATTAAACACTATTTAACCCATTTTTAACTCTATTTTTACGGAAAAAATGGAAATAGGTTGGAGACGGTCTACATTACACTTATTAGCTCCTCGGCGGACTGTTCACACAATTCCAGCAAAATACTATGTTAGAACACTTTCATAGGTCTTTCCTGTGCTTTACAAGCCACTAGGGTGTAAACGAGCTGAGCCCAAGCCTGACCAAGCTCGAGCTCAACTCGTTTAATTTGGAGGAATCTCAGGCTCGAGCTCGATTTGAGCCTTAAGATGAAGCTCGAGCTCAGATCGTGATCGTAATCAATTTAGTGGGTCCACGAGCCTAAATAAGCACACACACACACACACACACACAGAGATATATATATATATATATATATATATATATATATATATATATATATATATATATATATATATATATATATATATATATATAAGCTCTCTTTTAGGCTCGTGAGCCCATTAATTCAAAATCGGCTTGTGTTCGTTTAATAAACGAGCCTCATATTTAGGCTCGAGCTTGGCTCAGGTTCGTTTAATTCAATCCCGAGTCGAGCTTTTAACGAGTCGATATCTAGTTGTTCCGCTCAGTTACACACGTACAAACCACCATATTTGTACAGAAAAATAGGACATTAGTCTGGTCATGTTAGGTCTAAATTTTCAAGTTTAAGGGTTGTGAGTTTTAATACTTCCTTGGTTTGTATATCCATTCAATTCATAGAACTTATAGATGTGGATTTAGAATTCTTACATTTTGGTTAATCTTTTAATCAATTTGATATTTATATTTAATTATATATTGATTTTTGTAACTATTTGAAAAAGGTATTTGGACCCTTTGTAAATTTATTTGACATAAATCAATAATTTTTAAAAATATTTTATGTTTAAATAGTAGAGTTAATACTAAAATTAAAATTAAAAGTAAGTTCAACATACTAAAAATCAAATGAAGTTGAATAGTTGTGTATATTTTAAATCATTATGGTGCAAAAAATCAATAATTTAAGTATATTTTAGGTTGAAAGTTGAAGAATTATTCATAAATTTAAAATTACAAATGAGTTTAATATAAAAGAAACCAAATTGACCATAGTAAATTAGTTGGAAGGTGTTGAATATATCTTCATCCCCTAAAATGTTCAGGATTCAAGATAGACAAAATGAGTGGTATAGGAATATCATTTAATAGACAAAATGAGTGATATCTTCATCCCCTCTTGTAGGTTTCAAATGGATATGAAGTAAAAATTATGTCATGTACTACAATATATCTTAGATAGTAGCTTGTTTAAGTTTAAGATTATATATTAATTAATTAACAAATTATATATGTTATATTAATAGTTAATACGTGGTAGCATTTGAAAGATAATATTTTACATTTAATTTAAATAAATAAATTAAATATTTATGTTAGAAAGTGACGACTTAACATTAAAATTAGAATAATGATGGAGTTTAATTTATTAACTAAAAGAAAATATTAAAAATTTTAGAAATTTTAAATGAATATGGTTAGAATATTTTGAGATTTATTATAATACATTTATAATAGATAGATACATAGATATTAACATAATTTAAAACAAAATTTTATTAAAGAATTTGATAAAAATAAAATAGTAATTTCAAATTTTATGTGAATAAAAATGAAAATACAAGAACCAAACATAAAAAATTTAAATCCGTCTCAAAACGAATATATTTGGACTAATTTTGAATATTTATGTTGTTTAGTGTAAAAGGAATTATTTTTCAATGATCAAGTTGGTTATCAGTGTTCTATGTTGATGCCTTTGATTAATTCTATATCAAGTCTTAAGAGCAAAAAGCTAACGACTGAAAACTCAATACTAATGATAGAATGCTTACGCCCATAACAACAGTATATACGGAAAACTCCATTAGGATCTTCACCCCCCACCTGCAATAAATTTAACAAAAACATTACTACACAGGAAACTGAATAGGAAGCAAAAACATCAACCGTTACTTCAGTCTTAAATTTCTCTTCGTATATATGATTGAAAATTCATACCAATAAAATAAAAGGTTAATTGAGATAGATAATTCTTGAAAACAATGTTAAAGAGAAATCTGTTCATAATATGACGCTTGTAATTTACCTGGAGCTGAAGTCAAAGCATGAAATATAACCGTCAACAGCAAATAGGTTAGCAAACGCAGCTACCATCACAAACAACAATACGATCATCAACGCCCTCACCGCCACTCCCATGGATGCTGCTGACGCCATTATTGCTCCGATATATGTGTTAGAAGCACGTCAACTTTTAGAGTCTATATGGTTTTGATGATGAATGATTAATCTATATATATATATATGTAGTAATTAATTAATCGGGTATTTGTTTATTTTCGGTGGGTATCATAGTTTATGGGAATTGGCAAGTGTTGACCGATTTTCGTTTAGGGATAATGATTTAAAAAGGTAATTAAGTTTCAAAAATGTACAAAAAATACCATTATTTTATTTTTAGTATTCAAAATACCATTAAAGTATATTTTTTATACACAAAATACCAATAAAGTACACATGTGTTCAAATAATACCTTATGGGTAACCTATAATAGCCGGTAAAATGGTATTTTGTGTACAAAAAAAAAAACAATGGTTTTTTTTGTACATTTTTGAAACTTCGTTACCTTTTTAAGTCATTTTTCCTTCTTTGAATGTAATGGAAATTTAGCTACTTTTTATAAAGAACCTCCATTTCACTTCGGCCACTACTGCTGTTCATCGCCACCCTCCACCACCATGGCAAAACCCTTTTTCTTATTCTTCCTCCTAATCATCTGCCTACTTTCATCAACGCTGGAATCTCACCGGCCACCTCCGTTTCTCGGCAAATCCCCACGGCTTCTCAAAACCCAAAAATTCTTGTTCAACCAAAGTACACTTACGAGACACGATACTTTGATCTGACTCTTGATCATTTCAGTTTCAATGATCTTCCCAAGTTCCAACAATATTATCTCATCAACTCCGATTACTGGGTGGGCCCAGGCCCTAGTCGTTTGGGCCCAATCTTCCTTTATTGCGGCAACGAAGGCGACATTGAATGGTTCGCTGCCAACATCGACTTCGTTTGGGAACTCGCCCCTCGTTTTGGTGCCATGGTCATCTTCCCCGAAGTAAAAGCCCTAATCACTTTACTCTACATTAATTTGTTCACTTGCAGACCTTTAATAATACAATTTTATCAAAAGCTACGTGATTTGATCTAGCATCGATATTATGGTGAATCGATGCCATATGGAAGCCAGAAAGAGGCATACAAGAATGCTTCTACTTTAGCCTATCTAACAACCGAACAAGCACTTGCTGATTACGTTCTTCTCATCACCGATTTGAAGAAAAATTTATCAGCCGAAGCATCACCTGTAATCTTGTTCGGCTAATCATACGGTGGAAGTAAGATCTTTTCCAACAATTTCAACAAAAATTAAACAAACACTTGCTGATTACGCTCATGTCATCCCATTTACCTGAAGTACCTGGTTACCATAATGTTTTAGTTGAACACATGTGTATTTTGTTGGTATTGTGTGTACAAATAGTAATATTAATGGTATTTTTTGTACTAAAAAAACAACAATGGTATTTTTTGAACATTTGGAAACCGAATAACCTACAATATCCGGTAAAATGGTATTTTGTGTACAAAAAAAACAACAATGGTCTTTTTTGTACACTTTTGAAACTTCGTTACCTTTTTAAGTCATTATCCCTTTCGTTTATATGTAATTTGGTTGACATTTTTATTAATTTAACTCCTATACATTGAAAAAAAAAAATATTGTTGTAGAAGAAAAATGTAGTCTTATATGGAATTACATAAAAGATATATATTGTTGTCGAAGAAAACTATATACTCGTATTTACATATTTACATTTTGAGTAAATTAAAAACAACATTTAAGTTGTAGATATTTGTGATGCAAATGAAATACTTGGATTTAATATGCCTTCTATAATAAATTCATTTCGTTTGTGACTATAACTTTTTTTTACTTTGAAAAAATAAATCTAAAATAACTAAATTATTTAAATTTTAATTCTTTACAAAATGAACATAATCATGAAAACTTAAATTCTTATTTATTTTTTATTAAAAATCCAAAGATTTTTTTTTTCTTCCAAAAATCATAAAAATTGAAAGGATACTTCTGTTCAATATATATTAATGAATTTGTAAAAAACTCAAAAATAAGTTTTCAGAATTTTTATTTTCATTTTATAAAATATTAATTTTAGAAAAAATGTTAAATATAATATGATCCAAAATATGATAATTCAAAATATTTGTGATTCAAAAAAAAACTTTTAATTCAATTTGTTTATTATCCTAAATTTCTTATAATCTAAAAATAATTAGACTCAAATACTTTATAATCTTTAATATATATCTTTTATGATTCAAAAATTAAATGAATTAAAATATATAATTATCTATAAATTTTTGAACGAAAACTATATTTTATTAAATATATTATTGATCTAAAATCATACAATTTAAAATAATTTGATTCAAAATTTTATGATTCAAAAAAAATATATTATTTAAAAAAAGTTTGAAAGGAAAATATTATAATCCTTGATACTTTTCTTATTCAAAAGTTTATAACTCAAAATGATATTTAGTCTAAAAAGTTTAAAAAATAAATAAATAAAAAATAAAAAATAAAAAAAAGTGAAATAAGGGCGGAGCTTTTATAGGGCCAATAGTGACTGTGGCCCTCCTTGGTTTTTTCCATAACTAACCAGAACTATTAAAATTTTTATATATTACGCTTAAAACTAAAAAATTTTCAATTTGCCCCCCTTCCCCTTATTCTTCAATTTTTATATATATCCTATTTTTGGCACTTCAAATCAACACTTCAAGCTCCGTCACTTTGTGAAATCGTCCCTATAGTTTACAAAAAATTTCGCATTTAGCCCCTATCTTCTGTTTTGCACTCTGGTCATCCCTATAGTTTGTTTTCATTTTGTTTTTTCTCCCTAGCTGACGTAAAAAGACTATTTTTTCATTTTTATTTTCTTTTTCATTTTTTTATTATTTTTTTATTATTTATCAATTAAAGAAATCCATTAAATGATTTATAGATATGGGATAACCACAACTAGTCAACGACAACCACCACCAGTCATCATCGATAACCACCACTAGTCACCGAGAACCACCACCAGCCACTAACATCCACAACCAGCCACCAAAAAACATATTTGAAGCAAAAAAGAAGAAAATCCAAACCATGAACCAGAACCGGCCACCACCACTCCCATCAAACACCACATCCACCACCCTCTCCCATCTCCTTCTCTTTCATTCACAGGATCGCCGACGAGCACATAAAATCACCAAAAAAACGATTAATTTATGGAACAAGCAACTACCACAACCGTCACCCCACTTTTCTTGTTATTTTTCCGGTGAGCCCCCTACATCCGCGTTCATCGACTTCTCCTCTCCCTCCTATATCTCCTTTCAGATCGACAGCTGAAAAAAATAGAAGAAGAAGATGGATATTTTGATTTCCATAGATCTGGGTCTACAACCACCGCCGAAAGCATGTATCTTAGTCTAATTTTGTCATTGGAGTTCTCATATCCCACCATATCTTCATCTTCTTTGTCTGCAACGACTCATCTATCACGATCTAGGGTTTTAGAGCCTCTTTTTGCGCTAAGGTCACTTATAATGGCAACACTAGGTGGATTTCGTCTGCTCCTGCATTTCTAGGGTTTAATGTCGTCATTTTCATATTCGTTTTCGTTTTTGTTTTCGTTTGTAAATCGGTGGATCGATGGTGGTGAAGGCGGAAACTAATTGATGATGTAAAGGTAGTGGTCTAACGAGGTAACTCTGTAGAAAAGGGTGGTTCTACAGAGGTGGAGGGAGGTGTTGGTAGAGAGTATTTAGGGTTTCTATGGTTAAAAGAAGAGAAGAAAAGAAATCTGATAAGTAGGAGAGAGGAAGGTGGTGTGATATGGACCTTTTTATTGTTAATAACATAAAACTAATAATAAAATTAAGTGAAAATAAATCAAAAATGGCAAAAAAGTCTTTTTACGTTGGTCATTGACTAAGAACGCAACAAAAGAAAACTTTAGGGACTCTCCGAGTGCAAAACAAACGTTAGGGACTAAACACCTAATTTGTGCAAATCATAAGGAAGATTTTAGTAATTTGTTCAATAAAATTAGTGTCTTCAACTATGAAATAAAGACATTTAAAAAAAAACGAAAAAAAAAAAAAAAAGTAATAATTAATAAAAATGAAAAAAAAAAAAAAAAACGTTAAAACCGAGCATATATATGTTTAGATTTTTTGAATTTCTTTTAACAAAAAGTAATATATATATATATATATATATATATATATATATATATATATATATATATATATATATATATATATATATATATATATATATATATAACGAAAAAAACAAAATAAACGGAAATAAATAATAAAACCCGCTTAAATGACATTCCATGGAAGTTCGTCGCACGTGTTTAAATCATCGAGCTCGTATTAATTACCACGGACATGGGTCGCATGCGAATTATTTGGGTTTGACATTTGTGCCCTTGACGAAATTGGTGCTTAGCAATTGTCAACGCAGTGCTCACCGAAACCGGAACACACACACACACACACACACACACACACACACATATATATATATATATATATATATATATATATATATATATATATATATATATATGGGAAAAGTGAATATACCCTTAAGGGTATATAAGCTTAGGTACCCAAACTCACCATACTACGTCGTTTTGTATCATATATATACATTGTAATTGTCTAATGTTCTTATAATTCAACTTCTAACTTTATTTCATTCAAAGATTTTTATAAATTTAAAATTTATTTTCCTCATACATAATTTTCATTTTCAACTATAATATATATAGCCTAATTGATGTTCCTCAAAAAGATGTGATGTAACAGGAAGATAATAATGAAATTCTGAAAATCTTGAAAGTAAATCAAGTTAAGAATTGAAGTTGAAGAACATTATAATAAATATATCAAACAAAATGACGTATTATGGTGAGTTTGGGTATCTAAGCTTAGATACCCTCAAGGGTATATTCACTTTTCTCTCTCTCTCTCTCTCTCTCTCTCTCTCTATATATATATATATATATATATATATATATATATATATATATATATATATATATATATATAAGGGTTTAATTGAGAAAAAAAATTTGGTTGAGAATTGAGGAATTATTCTCAGCCAATC